ATGGGCAGGATTTTGGGTGTGTTGGGGCAGAAGGGAGAGGGTGAAGGGCAGGAAGAGGTACATATGTCTGGAGCCCACTGTGCTACAGCTATTCTTCATTTCCCAGGGTGACTTAAAGGCATTTCTGGCCCATCCATTCTGCCCCAAATGCAGGGATGAAGAAACTTAGAATCAAGGCCTCTCTCTTTAAAACATGCTACCTGCCCCACTGGTTGAGGTAGTGCAGCTGCCTCCTGCTGGCAAGTCTTCTTTCTTTACTCTTTTATCGAAGGCATATATGGAATGGTTGCCTCTTCAACTGCTGTCTGTGTTGTTTACTCCGCCCCTTTGGTTGTGATGCCTGGTACTTCATACCTGTGATGCTTGCTCACTGCTCCTGTTGCGTTTTCTATTCACAGGATCAGAGTGCCGACGGTACATATAGAACAAAAGAAGAGTGTCCCGTACCAAATGCTCTTGCTGTTGGAACAGATGCAGCGTAGCAAACGGAGAGCCGTGTATCCCCAGGAACTTGTCAGCTGTCTCACTTGGCACAATTTGAAATGTAAGCAGTAACCAGCCAGGCCCCGTCTGAACAGGGGAAGTCACCAAGCACTAATAAGCTCAGCGTGTCCTCTGACTCACCTCCTCATGTGTTCTAGGAATTGGAGAAGTGGTAGCACAGAGCCATGCTGGCTGCAGCAGCCTGCCCGCTGGGGAAGGGCAGCTGGGCCTTATTTCCAGATCAGGGGAGACCGACGCCCTGGAGAGCGACCTCACTTTTGGCCAGGGGATGCGACGGCTGCACATATTCTATAGGAGCAGAATGTTTTTCTGTAGGTGAAGAGAGGCACTTTGGTTCTAGGCAGAGGTGTGAAATGCTTTGGGAGTAGAGGGAGTCAGATTACTGCTTGACATACCTTGTTATATTGGCGTGATCATAGAGGGGAAGCTGCATTCTCTCTCTCTTATTAGAAAATAAGGCCATGTCTACACTAGCACGTATGTTGGCGAAACTTTTGTCTCTCGGGTATGAAAAAATCCACCCCCTGAGTGACAGAATTTTTGCTGGCATAAGTGCCTGTGTGCTGAGCGCTATGCTGATGGGAGACGCTCTCCCGCCAACATAGCTGCAGCCACTCGTTGAGCTGGTTTTATGATGTCAATGGGAGAGCTTTCTCACATCGGCATAACACGGCTTCATGAGCACTCTTACAGCGGCACAGCTGTATTGGTACAGTTCTGCTGCTGTAAGCTTGTAAGTGTAGACATGGCCTAAGTGTCAGCTGGAAGGAAGAGCAGGAAGATACGTGGATGATTGGACTCATTCAAATCCCTGAGCTTATAAGACATATCCAACTTTTTAGCTCTGTCATAAATGCTGAGAGAAGACCTGATCAGATCAACCTTCCAGCTGAGCATGTGTCAAAAGCAGATCTATTATTGTACATATGCAATCAGTAGTGATTAGTGTTGTGTGTGTCCGTGTGAACACACACATACATGTGCAAAATTTTGCATATATATTGGACTAATCTTTATCATGTAGAATGCAGAACAAGACACTGTTAAGAGAGCTACAGTAGAGATATACCAGCAAATTCAGACATGGTATAGGCAGGAGGGTAAGCAGTTGTGTGTGCCTACTTACATCAGAGCTAAATCTGTCCCTTTGAGATTGAGTTGCCTACATTTAGCCTTCTCTGTTCCAATTAAAGAGAGATGGCCAAATAAATCTCACAGAGTTTTACAATGTGGCCCACATTCTCTCTTGTCTTTAATATGGACGAATGGCGCATAGACACAATAGACCGGGGTGGGCAAACTTTTTGGTCCGAGGGCCACATCGGGGAATAGAAATTGTATGGTGGGCCATGAATGCTCACAAAATTGGGGTTGGGGTGCGGGGGGGGGAGGGGGTGCAGGCTCTGGGGTGGGATGGGAATGACGAGTTTGGGGTGTAGGAGGGTGCTCTGGGCTGGGACCAAAGGGTTCAGAGGGCGGGAAGGAGATCAGGGCTGGGGCAGGAGTGTGGGAAAGGGTGCAGCTTCCGGCTGGGGGTGTGAGCTCTGTGGTGGGGCTGGGGATGAGAAGTTTGGGGTGTAGGAGGGTGCTCCGGGCTGGGATCAAGAGGTTTGGAGAGTGGGAGGGGGATCAGGGCTGGGGCAGGCACTGCCCCTGCAGCTCCCATTGGAGCGTGTAGGAGCTGGAGCGGAGCCATGCCGTGGCTTCCGGGAGCCACGTGGTGCGGGCCAGACCCTGCGCCCCAGCTGGAGCACTGGAGCGGGGCTGAGGCACCTGGTGCGGCCCCCGACCCAGCGCCCTGGCTGGAGCGGGGCCGAGCCTCCTGGTGTGGCCCCCGACCCCGCACCCTGGCTGGAGCGGGGCCGAGCCTCCTGGTGCAGCCCCCGACCCAGCGCCCTGGCCAGAGCGGGGCTGAGGCACCTGGTGCGGCTTGCGGGCCGGCTTAAAACGGCCCACGGGCCATAGTTTGCCCACCCCTGCAGTAGACTCTAGCCTACAATGCTCTGTCTGGATTGGGATGGACTACTAAATCCTGGGACCTGTAAACTCTATGGGCTGTACCTCCATATTAGAGGCATGGATGACTGTAATTTGCTTAGTGGTATGCAAATTAAGGAGCAGATCCTTATGCAAGAACACAGCCTAAGTATCTGCACTGGGCATTGGGCAGACTTGCAGGGAGATTGAAGGTAAAAACACTGTGCCACAGGCTGTGGAGCCATTCCACAAAGGTCATTTCAGCTGCCCCTACTGCACAGGTAGCCTCCGTGGAACAGGGCTCTGTGCTGTGCAGTATGTGTGCGCTCTCTGCCTGATTCCTAAATTTTGCCCCCCTCGCTCCAGCTTGAGCAGTGGAGCTACACTGGTTCTGCTCCATGGAGGTAAGCACAGGATTTTTCCTTAAGTACGACTCTCAGGCATTTTCTCAATGGGGCTCTTTTAAGCAAGCCCTGCAGAAAACTATCTTCCACGCATCTAGGTTTGTAAATGTGCCATCTGGGCCCAGTGAGAACTCCAAGTGTAAGATTCCTGTATAGTACTTGACTTCTTGAGCTGGCAGGGAGTGCTGCGGTAGCAATGTGTTCAGCCCCTGGGTCGGAAGGAGGTGCCTCATATTGTTCTGTAATGAGACACAGAGATTGTTCAAGAGCGACATTGACTGGACTCCAGGGGAAACTCCACCTTTTCACATAGGTCAGGCAGATGCTTGGCATGGTATGGGGGGGTTGAGACCGGGGAGGACTGCAGATAAGAAAGTGGACGGAAACCTCAGGTCTCTGAGAGGGGCTCCAAGGAATGAAATGTGCTGTTTGCAATGCTAATGTTGGTTTGTAATGTCTCTGTTTGTCCAGTGTTTGTCCAGTATGACGCTGCTCAACTCTTCCTGAGCCTCTGGAACCTAATTAAGAGTCAAATCACAGACGGGCAGCTGGTAAGTGCTCTGACTGAAAAAAGGAACGTGCCACCTGCACCCTAGAGATTCCACAGCTTTCCCTGTTCACTAACCTTGGTTCTCTGTGAGATTACACGAGTCACCTCCATCCTGCTACCAAGCAATCCTGCCTCTCACCTCCCAGCCACAAGGAATCTTGCAGCCATGGGCTTTGGCAATTCAAGTCTCAATTAAAATGTATCCGTACATCTTTCAGACCACACCAAGGTGGTAATTCCCTTTGTGGGGGAGATTGTTTGTTAATAGGAAAAAACACGTTCCTTTTGCAAAATTGGGTTTGGTTAACTCATGTTTCTTCCTACCTCAAATGTACATAAATATTGTTCAGTATTATCTTTAAACAGCCTCCCCCTTGCATTAATGTCTGTCAGCTGCCTCTAATATTCAGTAATGTTTTACATATTATCTGGATGGTAGTTCCTCCCATCGGAGGCTCCTAGGCTAACAGTAAACAGTAATGCTGACTTTCCTCCACACTAGTAGCACAGTTTGTTCATGCAGGTTCAATACAAAAGTATACATATAAGTGTCTCACAGTTAAGGCCCTATTGCTACCGTAGCCTGACTATGTAATCTCCCATGGCGTTTATATCAATGGTTCTCAACCTTTCCAGATTACTGTACCCCTTTCAGGAGTCTGATTTGTCTTGCGTACCCCCAAGTTTCACCTCACTTAAAAACTATTTGCTTACAAAATCAGACATAAAATACAAAAGTGTCCCAGCACACTATTACTGAAAAATTACTTACTTTCTCCTTTTTACCATATAATTATAAAATAAATCAATTGGAATATAAATATTGTACCTACATTTCAGTGTATAGTATATAGAGCAGTGTAAACAAGTCATTGTCTGTATGAAATGTTAGTTTCCACTGACTTCGCTAGTGCTTTTTATGTAGCCTGTTGTAAAACTAGGCAAATATCTGGATGAGTTGATGTACCCTCTGGAAGACCTCTGTGTACCCCTGGTTGAGAACCACTGATTTATATTGCCCTCATTTAGATGCTGTGAGGTACTCTCTGTCTAGGTAGATGAAAGATCTGGTTTCAAGTCCTAAAGAAGTGACACTGCATTAAGTGTCCAAGACAGCCACTGTCACACCTGCAGAGGGAAAAGCATCAGTTGTGTGGTTCATATCCATTTCTTGTTCTTTTCTACTCTTCAGGCTGACAGGTTGACCACGCTGTACACTATCTGGGTGCAGGAGTATCTGGTTTGTCAGAAGTGCTCCTTTGAAACAAGGAGGGACAGCAACATGTTAAGCCTCCCACTCCCAATGTTTAATTCCTGTTCTCAGCGACTGAAGACACTGGTAGGTTCAGCAATCCAAAACTCCTCACTTAATGGGGAGAAAGAGTCCACTCCGCTTAGGCACAGGCGTCCACTTCCAGTGCCTCTCCTCCTAGGGGCTGTACCCATGTCTGTGCAAGGGATACTGACCTTTCAAGTGATGTAAAACTCTGTTTATCCCAGGTGGATTTACAGGTGGAAAATTAAGCTCTTGAGGCTCCTTTCTGAAAAGCGTAGGGGAAAATTCTGGTGTCCAGGCTAGGATTCCCCTCTCTGGGTAAAACACCTCCTCTAAAAGCTCTCTGTGCTTATCAGAGCTTAGATGCAGAAATACTGCAATTGCCTACAGAGTCCTTATACTATTAATACTGTAGTACTGTGTTTAGTGATGCTCGGATACTACAGTGATGAGGGGGTCGTATAAATGTTTAGACAGATAGGTGCTATGTTGTTCAATGATATTTGGATTCAAAGGGCCTGATTCTCATTTATACTAAGGCTCCTTTGCACTGCTGTAGCAGTGTACATTTAAGGGATCTTAAAGAGGTTGTAAATTACATTTACACGTCAACACCTTTTTCCTGAATCAACAGTCCTCCTTATCTCTTCAACTGTTGTCTCAGGGACCAAAGAAAGAGGGGACACCAGTTAAGATCAATCCAAAGATTTGTTTCTTAAAACAGGAATTTCGGTAGGAGTTCTGATCCAGCAGAATCACAATATATGTGTGTGTGTGCATAGCCACTTGTGGGCTAGGAGGGGTTGTAGCAGGGCTTGAGTTGTGCTGGAATGCTCCAGAATGCCATTCCAACATGCCAGAAGGGCGTTCCCTTACTTCTTCTTTAAAGACTCCAACATTGGATGATAGGTAAAGTGGGGATTATGAGCATTTTGACACTGACTTCAAATGGGATCGTGATCAAGCCCTGGGGCGAAGGGGAAGTTTTAGAAGGCCAAGATTTTCAAAAGTGACTAGTGATTTTGTGCCCCTCAGTTTCTGGGAACCCAACTTGAGAGACCTTAAAGGCACCTGATTTTCAGAGGATGAGTGCTCAGCACTTTCCAAAAATCAGTCCCCTTTGAGGCTTCTCCAACTGGGCCCACAAAAATGAAGGCATCCAAAACCACTAATCATTTTTGAAAATGTAGGCCAAAATGTCCACAAATGCAGTTTCATGCTCTTGGTGTAGGGTTGCACATTCCATTGTGCTTGATCCACAGCCTTTCTAACAGAACACTCCTTAAACAATGTGTTGGCATCTGTAAGAACAAACAATGTTTTGCTTAAGTTACTCCCTTCCTTACTGTGCTGGAAAAGAAAATGAAACCAGGTTGTTAGGGTTTGAACTAAACAGAAAGCATAACTGGAGCTCTGTCTGGGCCTGTGTAGACTAGGAGACGTGTTTTTTTAAAAGGGAGTAAGGTAACTTGATGTGGCTAAGATGACTTGAAACACCACCTAACACCTAATGTACAAACAGTTTAACTCTTTAAAATTGTGTTAGCTTATAACCTAAGAGGGAGCCTAAACTACAGTACAACAATATGACAGAGGGAAACAGGAGAGGCGAAAATTAAACTTTTAATGCGAAAAAGAAGCAAAGGAGGAAAAAAGCCTTTAAAACCAACCAACATGCCTTTTGGGTCTCCTTTATTCACAATAAAGCAGCAACAAAACCAATTTATTTTCCTTTGCTAGACACCTTGAAATACAATACCTTCTGAAGGTTTGCCTTGAAACTACAGCCTTTGAAATGAAGCAGAAATAGAAATGTAACTTCTCAGAGGAGTTCTATTTGGCTGATAGAATCCTTCTCTGTGCTTCTAGGAGGATACCCTGCGTTGCTTTTTCCAGCCTGAGCAGCTGACTGACAACAACATGTGTCTCTGTGAACAGTGTGAAAGGAAAACACCATGTCTGCAAGTAAGTGAGTGTTTCCCCTAATTCTGCCTAGACATGGAATTGCCATTGGGGTGGGAGTGCTGTCACTGCAGGCGTATAGCAGTGCAGTGAGGCTTAATTGGCAAGACAAGCTATATGAATGTTGCCAAAATAAAAGAGAAAGACCCCTCAAGTATCTGTCAGGGTGAGTATAACTCACCCAAGTTAGGATAGTACTGCTCAAAGTCTCCTTTGCAGGCCATTGCCCAATAGGGACATTCCCTATTAGCATATCTCTCACCCATCCTGCATTTTGTAGGAAAGCCCCACTATTCTTGCCAGCATCCCACCATGCTGCACCGTGCAACTCCCATGCCTGCCTGTGCCTGCTGTGATCTCTCTAACAGGTGCTCTCCTCCATTCCCTCCTGTGTCCTTGTGTAATAGGCAGAGGGAGCAGATACAATGAATAGTACATGCTTCAGGGTAAGGATAGTAGACAGAAAGTGAAGTGCACAAAATGGACACCTTAAGGCTGAGGTGTGTGTGTGTGTGTGTATATATATATATAGAGAGAGAGAGAAATGTTTAGCACCTGCATTCCAGGATCCCCCAAACAACTATGCCTGTATTTCTGACCTACAGCTCTTCATGCTATTCCAGTTCTAGGAATAAAATGTGAACAAGTGCCTTTTATATATGCTTGAAGCTGAACTGTGATCTTCTAAAGTGATAGGTTGGGGGAATTAATTCACTGTACCACTAACCATTCTCCACCCTAATTGCACTCACACTGATCTCAGCATCTTCATCCATTCTTGATTCTTTAGTTTTCAGATCAAGTGTTTATTGCTTTGCAGGGCATGAGGCTAACATGTCTGCCACACACCCTTACCCTTCACCTAAAGCGCTTCTACTACAAGAAATCTTCCTGGACTCAGAAGATCAGCTACTCTCTGCCTTTTCCACAAAGCCTTGATTTCAACCAGATCCTGACACAAGAGCAATGTCACCCAGATGCCAAAGAGAAGGTGAGACATTCTCATACATTGCACTTTGGGGAAGCAGATTTCCTTCTCTTCTATTCACTCAGTTCTCACAAGAAGAGACTCGCAGGTCAGACAGACATTACCCTCAATGTTCTCCATCTTTCTAATAGAGTCATGCCCTGGGCTTTAGCTGTACCTAATGGTGTTCTACATCCTGTGATTTTAACCCTTTCAGGCACTATGCAACTTTTGTGCTTAGACTTTGCTAAACCAGGAAACCAAGACAGTTGCTACCAGGGCCATCTACCACGCTGACCTGACTCAAAAACGTATACCTTCCTTCTTCTGAGACCAGGTAGCATGGCTGTCTCAGTGCTGCCTTGTTTCCAGCTTGCTACAGAAAAGATCAAGGCACACTCCCCTTATGTCTTATTTAATCACAATGGTGTCTGAGAGACAAATCCTGCCTTGGCCTGCATCCCGCCCCCCCAACTTTATCAGTATTGAAGCCTCAACGAGCAGCAGAGCTGGTGTTTCACTGTGTGGGAGGCCAGGGTTTGGGGCATCCACTCACAGCAATCTACACACTGGTGCATGCCATGGAACTGTGTTTAGCAGGGATCCATCTATGCCACTGCAGGAGGGTTTCATCTCAACAGGACAGGGGCATAGCTGGTGGATATGTGCCTATGTGGAGCTGCTGGTCAAACTTCCTGTATTCCTCAAGTCATGAGGGAGCAACAAGGCCTTGAGATTGCAGTTCTGGCTGCAGATTGGTTCTGTTGCTGTTCCATACTTTGATTTGGAAAGGAACTTTTCCTTTCTCCCCACCACCTAGTCTCCAGGAAACTTCCCTGCTTACAACCGGTTTCTTCAGATTGTGTGGCGGAACCAGGATTTGGCTATAAGAACAACAGGAACATCTAATCTAACTGGTGTATTTATGAAGCATTTAGAGCCTTGGTATCCAGGTGCCTGTTTGGGAGAACTGAATAGTTAGGAAGAATTCCCGTTACACAAAACTGAAGAAAATGATCTTCATCTTCCAGACAGGGCCATCATCGTCCTGTCGCCTCGCTTGACTGGGGAGGATGTTTCACCTTCTCCTGAAGGAAATGGACTTCTGTTATGGGTGTTTGTCTCTGCTCATCAGCCAGAATTCGGTCTCTGCTGCATTGATAGTATCTCTTTGTGGCTCTTTTTAGGCAGATTGGCAGTATGAGCTCTTTGGTGTTGTTGCTCATTCGGGATTAGCCAGCTTTGGTCACTATTGTGCCTACATTTGGAGTCTCACAGAAGGCAAATGGTACTGCTTCAATGATTCCAGTGTCTGTCAGGTGAGAAAACCAGACCCACAACTCTTCTGTCTTCTCTGCTGTGCATTCTTTTGATCTCTAATTATGCCCACAAAAAAAAAAAGCACCTCTAACTCAAATTGATGTGTGTGGCTGGACTGGTGCTGAGTTCATTTCTCCATCCCATTCCCTTATGCTACAAATGTCTGTGGATGATTTAGTGCCAACCAAGAAGAGGGACCAGCCACCAGAAGTGTCATGTTTTCCTTACACAGTGAGCAAATGGATACTTTCAGTCCAAGTGACTTTTATTTTAGATTGGGAGAACAAAAAGAGGCAATAACTTAAATGATCTCCCTAAGAGAGCACACCACGTGTTTCTCTTCTTTAACAACATGCACTGAACTGAACACAAAATGGCTGCCAGTTTTTGCAGACAGTATAGTCCTTAGGCATTAAGGTGTAGTTCACAGATACAGTTATCCAACATTCATATAGTTATTCAATAGACCCTTTAGGAAAGGGGTAGATAGAATAGAGCTGCCTTTCACAGAAGATTATGGGGTACGCCCCCCCTTACCAGTGGACCTGCAATTATTGGAAGGGGATGAGTAGAACCTCCCTGGGGAATGGCTGTGCAGTTATCATGATCAATAATTAAATTTGCAGCTGACACAAAGTTGGGGGGGTATTGCCAATACAGAGGAGGCCTGGAGTATCATTCAAGAAGATTTGGATGGCCTTGGAAACTGGAGTAATAGAAATGGGATGAAACTTAGTAGTGCAAAGTGCAAGCTCATGTACTTAGGGACTAACAATAAGATTTTTCGCTATAAGCCGGGGACATGTCAGTTGGAAGTGACATAGGAGGAGAAAGACCTGGCTGTACTGGTCATTTGTTGTATGACAATGAGCCACCAGTGTGATGCGACTGTGAAAAAGGCTAATGCAGTCCTAGGATGCATTAGGTGAGGTATTTCCAGTAGAGACAAGGAAGTGTTATTACCATTATACAAGGCACTGGTTAGACTTCTTTACACCTGTTCCAGTCTGAATTAATCTTTCTTAAACATGATAGACCAGAACTGCACACAGTACTACAGCTGAAGGGCTACTAGGCTGATTAGAGGAGTGGAAGACCTGCCTTATGAGAGAGACTTAAGGAGCTTGGCTTGTTTAGCCTAACCAAACAAAGGCTCTATAAATAAATCAGAGGGATAAACACCAGGGAGGGAGAGGAGTTCTTTAAGTTAATGGCTAATGTTGACACAAGAACAAATGGATATAAATTGTCCATCAACAAGTTTAGGCTTGAAATTAGGTGAAGGTTTCTAACCATCAGAGGAGTGAAGTTCTGGAGCAACCTCCCAAGGGGAGCAGTGGGGGCAAAAAACCTAACTGGCTTCGAGACTGAGCTCGATAAGTGTATGGAGGGGATGGTATGATGAGACTGCCTACACTGGCTTGTGGCCCGTCTGCGACTGCTAGTAGCAGATATAATCAATGGCTGGAGATGGGACACTAGATGGGGAGAGCTCTGAGCTACTACAGAGAATTCTTTCCCAGGTGTCTGGCTGTTGGATCTTGCCCACATGCTCAGGGTCTAACTGATCTCCATATTTGGGGTTGGGAAGGAATTCCCCTTCCCCCCCCCCCAAGTCAGATTGGCAGAGCCCCTGGGTTTTTTTTCTCCTTCCTCTGCAGCATGGGTCACGGGTCACTGGTTGCTTTGAATTAGAGTAAATGATGGATTCTTTGTAACTTGAAGTCTTTAAAGCATGGTTTGAGGACTTCAGTAACTCAGCCAGTGGTTATGGGTCTATTACAGGAGAGGGTGGGTGAGGTTCTGTGACCTGCAACGTACAGGAGGTCAGACTAGATGATCACGATGGTCCTGTCTGACCTTAAATCGGAGAGTCTATGATGTGTCTAACCAGCACTTAAGAGTTCTTACCAGCGCTCTATGTATGTTTGATTCACTGCAGGTATCGTGGGATGATGTCAAATGTACCTATGGAAATTCACATACCCACTGGTAAGGGGGTGTATCTTTATTTTATCTGATACTGCTTTGGGGTAAGGAATGGGGTTAGTGGTGGTATGGAAAACAATCTGAATTGTCTTTGTCTGAGGAGACAACTTCTCACATTATGGCCACTACTACCTGGCTGTAGTAATACTGTACAGTCACAAGTGTGTGAGCAAAAGAGATCTTTCATTGTTCACCCCCCATTGCCACCCAGCCCATAAAGAGCGCGAGGTGCTAACCACTTGAGGACCCTGTCAGTCAGGGTCTCTCTCACTCCTCCCTCTGCACTGATAAATCATAAGAGAGCAAAAGGTAGAGAGAATCCATCCTGCCAATATAGCACCTTTACCCAGTCACAGTTACAGTGCTATCTGGGGTGCAAAAGGAAGGATGAGGTCACCTGATCCTATGGTAGGACAAATGAAAAAAAGCTAACCCTGGGGAGTGTGTCTAACTACAACCCGCCTCATGCACACATTTGTTTTGCTCTTTTCTTCTGCTAGGGGTGAAACTGCCTATCTCCTGGTTTACATGAGAAAGAATTCCAAGTAGCCTCATCCAGGCCTGCTTCAGGGACCTGGGGGCTCTACGCAGGCCCCACCCTATTTATGGAATCTGACAACCCTGTTCCAAGAAGAATATCTACAAATCCATCAGTACAGCAGAGTGGGAGACCTGAACTCAGTTCAGCCGTGACACGTCACTGTGTATAGTGTGTGTATGGGGGAATGGAAAGGTTCTGTGGGGGCACGTGACCACCCCCTGTGTTGTCTCAGCCTCCACCTCCTGGAACTTGATATGTATCAGACAACAGAGAAGAGCCACCACTTCCTCCTCCTGCTCTCTGTCCTGTGCTGCCCACAGAGCTTGCAGGCAGCCTCCCTGCCTGAACAATCCTCATTCAACTTAGTAAGTGTTCAAATCAAGACCAACAAAAGGAGCAACACAGTTGGGATGCACAGTCCCCCATGCGCCATCAGGGTTGGGTGGTGCCAGGGTGGGATGGTGGTTGGGGCTGGATCACCTCAGTTAACAAGAAGTTGGAGAATTATCAGTCACTTTTTGTTGGGGTGGGGTGGGGGGGTAAATGACACCCCCAAATCGCCTTCCCCTTGATATGCACATTGGAGGCTGCGGCTGTTTCAATGCACCCCCAGTAGCAGCAAGCTGTGGTTGCAGATGCATTGAAACAGCAGCAACAGGGTCTGCTCCCACTGCCCCCCCCAGCCTGCTCCCTTCACTCACCCCTGGGGTTCTCGGGCTGGATGGGGCTCCAGGGTGGGGCTTCCTCTTAAAGATGCCCCCTTGACTCACCCCTGGGGGTGGTCTACAAAGCAGGCAGCAGGAAGTGCTGGGGCTCCAGCAGCAGGGAAGGAGAACAGCCCCATGTAGCGTGGCGGGTGTGTGTGGGTGGGAAGGGGAGAGCTCAGCCAGACGCCCTGATGCATCCTCCCTTTCCGCACTGCACAGACCCACAGCCAGGGGGAGCCGCTGCCTCTCACTGCTGGGTGTCCCAGTGAAAGGGGGTCTGAGAAATCTGGGGGGG